CTTTTCATTTCTTTCTAATCCATAGGTCAACCTAGTTTTTGTGCAAAGGGTCAGATAGTAAATGCTTTAGGCTCTGTGAGCCACACAGTCTCTGCGGCAGCCACTCTGACCTCTGCCTTGGTATGAAGACAATTTGAAAACAGACAAGTGTGGCTGTGTTCCAATAAAATTTGACTCACAAATACTGAAATTTGAATTTCCTACAAAATTTCTTCTTTTTTTTTGGTACTGGGGATCGAACTCAGGTCCTTGTGCTTGCGCGCAGCAGGCAGTAAAACCACTGAGCAAAATCCCCGGCCCTATCTTCTTTTTTTTTGATGCAGTGTCTTTCTATGTAGAAATCGGACTGGCCTCCAACTTGCCATCTTCCTGCCTCGGCCTAAGGAGCAGCTGGGATTGCAGGCTGGGTCAGCCCTCCTGGCTGTGCTGTTGTTGTGCTGGGGCTCAAACCCTCAGCTCTAACCACTAAGTGTGCCTTCCCCTCCCCCAACACTTATCACAGCTTCTAACTGGGTCTTCAGACCTTAGATTTTAGTGGAAAATTCCAGGGGATCAGGGAGCTTGCTGCTGTCTTCCCACTGAGGATCAGCCTGCAGCCCCGTGTCCAGCACACAGGGGGCCTCTGACAGCCTGCTAACTCACAGGACCCCTAGGCCTCCCCTCCACTGGCTCAGATTGTGCTGGTGGTGTAACAGCAGTTGCAGCGGCTGAGCTCCTCCTGCCAACTCTGGGGCACTTTCCAAAGAATCTGCCCTGGGCAAATTCCTCACCCCGAGGAGCTTTCCTGCAGCTGCACTCTGAGCTGTCTGTGGCGGTTCACTCCGGCCCTTCCTCTGTGCTTCTTCCTGAGCCCAAACCCAGAAACGGCCTCCCCACCGGGCAGCCCTCTCCCTAAGTGGGACCAGCTCTTCCACCTGGGGCTGCCCGGGATCCGGGATCTTAGAAACACAGCGTTCAATCATTCAATCGGGACACTTCACTCAGCTGCCTGTCAGGAATGCTGGGCAATGTCCAGAGGCCCAGGGAAACTTGAGAAACAGGGTACTTCTCTGCTTGCTCGAATTGCCCCAGGGCCGCCATGGTGACCTTTTCAAAGAAGTCTTCTCAGTGGCACAGTGGCTGCATGGGCTCAGTGTGCAGGAGGCCCTGGGTTCCATCCCCAGGAGAAAAAAAAAAAAAAAAAGGAAAAAATAAAGAAAGAGAGGGAAGGGACACTGAGTGTGGTGGCGGATGCCTGTATTCCCAGCACTAGGGAGGCTGAGGCAGGAGGGTTGCCAGGCTACATAGTTCAAGACCAGCCTGAGCTACATAGTGAGATTTTGTCTTCCCAAAACAAAAACAGGAAAAGAAAAAAGGAAAGGAAAAGCCAGGTGTGTTACTGCAAGACTCTAACTTCAGCTGAGGCAGGAGGATCGCTTGAGTCCAGGAGTTTAAGGTCAACTTGAACAACATAGGACAATCCCCATCGCAAAAGTAAATACAATTTCACTCTTCGGTCACCTCACTTACATTTCAAGTGCTGTATGTAACTTTTACTGAACTGCACAGCTACAGAACAGTTCCCCTACTGTAGAACATTCTGTTGGACAGCACTGTTTTATTTTTGTTTTTGAGAGAGTCTCCCTGTGTAGCTCAGGCTGGCCTCAAACTCACAGCAATCCTTCTGCCTCAGCCTTTGGAGTGCTGGGATCATAGGTGTGCACCATGCCCAGCCCATGAACAGCACCGTTTTAAAACACACATCTTTTTTTTTTTTGATACCGGGGATTGAACTCAGGTCCTTTCACTTGCCAGGCAGGCGGCGGAACCACTGAGCTAAATCCCCAGCCCAAACAGCACTGTTTTTGACCCAACACTTACTCACCATCCTCATTCTTTTTTTTTTTTTTTAATACAGAGTCTTGGTATGTAGCCCAGGCTGGCTTCGCGCATGCGTGCACACACAATGGAGATCAAACCCTGTATGGTAAGGAGGTGGTCTACCTCTATACCCTCCATCCCTCATTATATTTATTCTGACACTAAATTGGGTGGTGGTGTCTATAATCCCAGCACTCTGGGAGGCTGAAGCAGGAGGATGGCAAGTTTATGTCCAGCCTGGGCAGCTTAGCAGTTTAATGAGAACTTGTCTCGAAAATAAAAAAAAGTGCTGGGGATGCGGCTCAGTGTGAAGGCCTCACACAAATCTAACCCTACAAAGATCTCCCTTACCAATAGGAGACCGCTCTTTACAGTTAGCTACCAAAATCAGTTTGGTCTGTTTTCTCTCTGAATATGTAGTGTGAATATTTAGTGCAGTTTTCTTCTTGCACTCAACTGTGTTGTGGAAGTGTCTCTTGGGCTGAGCGCTGCTTACTGATACAGCGCTTGCCTACATGGGGACAGCTGTAAGTTCCATCCTCTACAGAGCAAAAAAGCAAAAAGAGAACAAACAAGACCATGTGTCTTTCTCCACCTTGCTGTTGAGGGTTGTGCTTAGACACTGCAGTACTGGTTCTCCCTCGGGATGCTCGCTTGTTTCCAGGTTTCCCGACTGCAGAGAGTGTTACATGTGAATGTCCTTGTTCTTCCTCCTGCCCTTGTAGTCATGTGTGTCCAGGGTAGATACCCAAAAGTAGAATTGCTTGGTTGAAAAATCACCAGCTAACAGCCCCGGGGCTTGGCACACCCTGTGCTCGGCCTCTGATGCCTCCCCACATGACTAATTGCTACTCATCGAGGCTCATCTGGGGCCGGGTCCTGGTAAAGGAGGTGTGTCCCACCTCTGTCCTCCCAGGGTCCGTGTGGCATCACTGCTGTACACTTAGGGTACTGCCTTATTTTCTGTGTGTCCCCAGCCTAGGGTATAGCAAGGAGGAGGACCCGAATGTTTTCTAGACTGCATGAACGAATGAATGAATAAACAAATGAAGGCATGGTGCCTTCATTCCAGAAAGCCAAGGTGAGCTCCCCAGTGTCTTGTTTGGCTGCAGACCAATCTGCCACTTGGGGATCTAAGCCAAGCTGCCTCTTGCTGCTGGGTTTCTGTCTCTACCTGACCCTTGGGCCGGGTATCTCACCTTCAGCCCTGATCGGGTTTGGAGCAGTGCCTGATGAAGCAGCTCTGGCCACACAGCTGGATAGCCGACCTTGGGGGCTGCACTGGTGTGGAGTTGGTTTTCTGAGGCCATCACGGTGTCCTTTGAAGCAGTCCAGGGTGCTGTGGGGTTTGGTTTCTGTGATTTTCCCTGCTGTACTTTAGGGACCGTGAAGATCAGCTGCAACGAGTTTGTGTTCTGCTTCCAGCTTTGACCCCAAGGGAAGCCAGATGTTTTCCCTGTGCACTGCCCCTTCTGCCTTCAGCCTGATGAGCAGCCCGGTTCCCTGATGTCTCTGAGGCTTGGCCTCCCCAGATCCCAGAGCTTGGCTGCCAACTTTATTTTTAATAAGGTTTTAATAGGTAGCTCCCATAATTAATTTCACCCTTGTATTTTCACACTTTCCTCCAGGTATGTAAAAGGCCCCCAGGGCTGTTAACGGCTTTAAAGTAATGCAGAGCAGTGTGGCTGTTATCAGACTCTCCTCAGCTCCTCTCATTTGCAATTTCTTTGCAGTGGTTAATTAGCTGGGGCCCAGAGCCCAGTGGAAGGTCAGCCCAGTCACCCACCAGGTTTCATAAAGGTAGAAACAGATGAGGAGAGAATGGACTTGTCCAAGCCCCAAGAGACTGGGTGTTGAAACTGGTTTCCGAAGCCACGGAGTTTCATATCCACTATGTAGGGTTGATTGTCACAGGCGGCTAGAGTCGGCCGGCCAAAAGTGAGGCGTCTTGGGTACTCCCAGGCTCCTTGGGGAGGCAGTTTCTCCCTCCAGCGTCAGCAGCTAATGTTACCCCTGAAATCACCCCCATTCATTCTCCCTGCGCCCCCTGTCCATTTTGTGAGCGGACTCATTGGCTTCAGTGACTCCTCCCAGATTTTGAATCAAAGCGATTTTACTATTTTTAAAGCTGCCTTTTGAAAATCCGCGCGCCTACACGCACACTTCTCAGGGAGTGGGGGCTGGGGGCGGGTCCCCAGAGAGCGCGCCGTCCCCCTGGGGGCGCTCTGCAGCCTGGGGGCAGTCTCTGTGCACCCCCTGGGGGCTGGGACCCGCCCAGCCCGCGCCCCCTTTGGTCTCCTGGATTCCGGGCCCTGCCGCTGGGCCACCGGGCGCAGGGGGAGCGGGAGGAGAGAGGGCCGAGCAGGTGGCGATTAGGTCAGCCTCGGAACATTCTTGGACCGCTCCAGTGGATATAAATAACAGAGAGGCAGGTTACGAAAAATCCCGAGAGTCGGAGGGGGTGTCGGGGCGGGGAGAAGGTTTTCTTTAGCGTGATCGTGGCGACCTGGGAAAATCTACCGCATTGATAAAGGGGGCGGAGGGGCGAAGGGCTTTAAGAATGAATCCCGGTACAAAATCTGGGAATAAGAACGCGGAGGAGGAGGAGTTCCTGGCTTTTTGTCCCACCCCTGTCGCGTGTTTGCCCCAGGCCTCAGAATGAGCCCCAGATTAGCAGAGCTGCACCGGCACCGGCACCGGCCCGATTTTGCTGTCCCGGCTCAGCCCACCTAGACAGCAATCCCTGCAGGTCTCTGCCTCACTTTAACCATCTGTACAATGGGGATCCATCCCAATGTTCCCAAGGAGGCAGGACGTGAGCCCCCAGCACACTTCTTTAAGGATCCTGTGCTCAACCAAGAATGCAAAGCACTGTTGCCCCTGGGGTGTCGATGCAGGCCTGGCGCCCAACCACCGGTGCCCGCTCGCTAGCATCCCGAGCTCTGCAAAAGTGAGGGAGGGCGAAGCCGAAATCTGACCCTGCAGCCTCGCGGCGCCACCTTGGGGTGTCGGCCGGGCGCTGGGCGCCGGAAGCGGACCCCGAGTGCGCGCCCGGTGAGCCGCTGTGGCCGGCCTCGAAGCCGGGCAGTGGGGCTGGGGCCGCGCAGGGAGCGGGAGGGCGGGGCCGAGGGCCGGGCTTCCCGGGGGAGGGACGGGCGCTCCGGGAGGCGGCGGCCGGGCGGGAGCCGAGAACTCGGGCCGAGCGTGGCCGGATCCCCAGCCGCTGCGGGGCCTAGCGTGGACGCGGTGAGTGCCCGGGAGGGTCGGGGACGAGGCCGATCGAGCCCGCCCCGCGGTCCCGCGGCTCCTGGAGTTTCCAATGGGACCGGCTCCCGCCGCGGGGACCCGGGTCCGCGTGGGCACGGGAAAGGCCGAGCCGAGGGGACGTCCTCTGGCTACGGGGCAAGGGGCGGCGTCGGGGTGGGGGGCCGAACCTTCTCCGGGGACCCTCGAGGGCCTTACTCTGTCCTCCTGGTCGCCCCCCGGGGACCCCTGGATCTCTGCCCTGAGCCCCAGCTCCTGGGGCCGCCGCCTGGGGCCACCATCTGGAGGCGGTGGGCGGCCTGGCCCCAGCAAGGGGTGCCCCCTCCCCTCGGCGGGGACCGGCTGGCCCCACCCCCGCCGAGACCAAGTTCAACAAGTTTGGCCGAGAAAGTCCCGGCGCCTTCACGGCAGGCCCGGTCCCGCCGCCGCGCGTGGGCTCCCCGGGCTCCTGGGTGCGCGGCGCCCGCAGTGGGGGTTCCCAGATCTGGAGGCTCAGGGCTTGGTGTGCGTCACCTGGGAGCGAGCGGGCACCCCAGCCGGCAGGTCCGGTTTCCAAAAGCGCCCCTTTGTTTTGCCCCTCCCCGGCCCTGCCTCCTCCTCTTCCCCCCACCCCTCCCCCAGCAGCCAAGGCCTCTGATTGCGGGTGCCAGCCCCACGGGCTAGGGTGCCCCTCTCTGGACAGCGACTGTTCCCTCCCGTGTCCTCCGGCTGCAGGCTGACAGGGAGGGGCTGCGGGAGAGAAGCCCTGGGGCTCAGTGACTCAGAGCCCCCGGGCTGCCCAGGGTGGCTGGGCTCTCCACTGGTGACCCCAGCGTCTGCAGAGGAGTAAGGGGCCTCAGGGACAGCGGGTGCCCCCCTAAGCTAGGAATTCCTAGCTTGGCCCCAGCAGCTGCTGGGAGTCGATTTCTCTGGGCCCAGAAAGTGTGGGTGCCCTGGGCCGGAAAGGTTTCATTACCTGCTGTCTGAGTGCCTGCCTGGCAGAGTGTGTTCTGCTGATTTAGGGCTCTGCTGGGGCCAGGAGGCATGAGGCCCCAGCTGTCCTCAGCAGGGACCAGTGCACCAGCCACCCCCACAGCGACTGGAAGCTGGGCAGTGGGGCCTGGTTGTGCCTGGGGCTTGGGCCTGTGTTTGCTCTGTGAGGCCGGAGGGAGTTGTGCCAGCCCTGCACACACAGCCTGCTCTATTCTGGGGCCAGAGAGAGGAGACGGCCCGGGGGCAGCTCTCCCAGCTCTCCCCGCAGGGGCCTCGGTCCTGATGACTCCCAGGGACAGCTCCAGAGGCCCAGTGATTTATGGCCACAGCTCTCTCTCTCTCCATCTGGCTTGCTTGTCCCTGCTGGACAAGTGGGGCAGACTTGAGAAGAAACACAGTGAGCTGCTGGTGCTTCTGCCCAGGCACCTCTGCTGCCTGCTCCCCGCTGGGTTCTCCCATGTCAGTAGAGGCTGGAATTGGGTTGCTGGTCTTCAGGTGGATGTCATTCTTTCCTTTCTCCTTTTGGTACTGAGCCTTGGACCCCAGATTTTGTGCCCACTAAGCTGGGCTTTTACCACTGAGGTACACTCCCAGTTGTGATTCTCAAGCTTGGGGCGACACAGATTAGAATGGCAGAAATGTGTCAATGACTGGGGACAGATGGGAGCCTGTCAGTCTCAGCCCATGGGACATGCACCCTGAGTGAGGGGTCACAGGGGCTGTGGAGGCCAAGGGTGGAGGAAAGGGGAGTGACTGTGGGGAAGATGTCCTCATTTGACTTTAGTATTACTATGTTGCTACCGGGGATCGAACTCGGGACCTTGTGCTTTCGAGCCAGGTGGCGGAACCACTGAGCTAAATCCCTGGCCCTATTATCATTATTATTTGGTGATAGTGGGAATTGAATCCAGGGCATTTGCACTGAGTTACATTCCCAGCCTTTTTTTATTTTTTATTTTGAGTCAGGGTCTCACTAAGTTGCTAAGTTGCCCAGGCTGGGCTCGAACTTATGATCCTCCTGCCTCAGCCACCCAGATTGCTGAGATGGCAAATGATTGCCACCATGCTCATTTGACTTACTTGTTCATTTAATCAGAAACAAGGTCTCACTATGTAGTTCAGGCTGGCTTTGAATTCACTATGTACACCATGTAGGCCTCAAATTCATGGCAATCCTCCTGCCTCAGCCTCCTGAATGCTGGGATTACAAGTGTGTGCCACCATGCCCGGCTTTCATCTGACTTCTGGAGGATAAGGAGAGCTCCACCCATTTGGCGGGAGCACTGGCTCTGAGCCTGCTTTGGGGCCAGCAGGCAGACACTGTCCTCCCGCGGTGGACTGTCCTTGGGCCTTAGGTTTGCTTAGAGAAGGAAGTGATCTCCTTCTAGGGGCCATGAGTCAGTCGACGTGGTGCAGGGACAGCTGAGACCCAGCCCAGAGGTAGGAGAGGAGTGGTTGCATGCCACCGTGTCTAGATCTTGAGGTGGCGGCTCTGGGCCTGGAGTCTGCCTTGCCCTCTGCCGTGATTCTGGAGGATACCTCCCCGGTCATGGTGCCCAGACTCTGGTCATTTTGAGGACAAGGATGAGTTGCTAGTTATCCATGAGGCCCCACGGGGCTTCACGGATGCTGCTGGGGGGACAAGCACCTTTTGGGACTGCCAGTCCCTGGCATTGCTGGTTCATGGCCTGGTTTGGTCTGCATCCCAGCCATGGCGTGGAAGCTGACCTGGTGGGTGGATTTCCATGGAAAGTGCACTTGTTTGCACCTCCTGGCCAAGACCAAGGCCTCGGGCCTCCTGGCTCCTTTTGTGCCCTTCCCACCACTGACTGCTAACAGGGTCATCCTGTGGTTGAAGGGCAGGTGCCAGGGGCTCTGGCTGAGCAGGAGTCCTTGCCCCTCTTCTGCCCACCACCCACCCCCGGCTGCCATCTAATCCTGCCTGGATCGTGTGACTGGCCTGGCATTCCCCTGCCTGGAATCTGGCACTCCTGACAGCAGTTGCTATATCAGGGTGGGGTGGGGTGGGGAGCCGGGCACCGCCCTGGATACGTGGCCCCCAGTCTCACCCCACTGTGTTCATGTTAACTTCAAGGCAGAATCGTGGCTGCTTGGAGAGCCGGACACTTGGGTCCCTGAAGTGATCCCTAGACCCCAGGGACGGGGACAGGGACAGGCACACCAGGGTGAGTGGAGGAGCCTTGAAACGGCCACTGTGGCCCCTCTCCAGGCTCCTCTTGGGGACTTCAGCCCCTGCTGTCAGCCTGAGCTCTGATGGCTCCTTGGGTGGCAGGGCTGGTGTGGAGTCCAGCTTTTCTCTTACTCCTGCTTTCCACAGCCCCCCATCCGCCACCATTCCGTGCTGCGGGGACTCGATGGCTCCAGAAGAAGATGCTGGAGGGGAGGCCCTGGGGGGCAGTTTCTGGGAGGTGAGCAGCTGGGGCTTTGGGGTGGCACTGAAATGCGCTCCCTTCTTGGGGCCAGCCCCTTGGCTGGGGGAGGAGCCTGGTGCAGCAGCTCTTGTCACCCGCACTCCCAGGCTGGCAACTACAGGCAGACGGTGCAGCGGGTGGAGGATGGGCACCGGCTCTGCGGGGACCTGGTCAGCTGCTTCCAGGAGCGTGCCCGCATCGAGAAGGCCTATGCCCAGCAGCTGGCTGAATGGGCCCGCAAGTGGAGGGGCGCGGTGGAGAAGGGTGAGCCGTTGTGCAGGCTGATGGGCGCTGGGGGGGGTGTGAGGGTGGGACCCTCCTTTGGTACTGAGAATTGAGCCCACGCTAGACAAGTGCTCTGCCTCTGAACTACACTCCTAGCCCCGGCACAATTCCTGGAGGGGAACCTGGAAGTTCACAGAGGCTAGGAGCTGGAAGTGGACCCCAGATTTTGCCTGAGGGAAAGATTCAGGTGTGTGGTTTATGCATTCGGCTGGGGTCTGACTCTCAGCTCCATTACGCAGCTGTAGGGCTTTGGATGAGCAAACGTCACTTCTCTGGGTCTCGGTTTCTTGGCCTGATCCACACTGATCCTGACATTGTCCACTCAGTGCTGAAGCAAGGATTCTGGGAGGTCTCCCTGGTTAGGACAGAGTGAGCATTTGGTGGGCAGCAGGCGACAGTGCTGTCCTCTTTGCACCCTGGACACCCTTGGGAGGACTCAGTGAGAGGGGCGGCTCACTGGGGGCCCTGTGGCTCGCAGGCCCCCAGTATGGCACACTGGAGAAGGCCTGGCACGCCTTCTTCACGGCGGCCGAGCGGCTAAGCGAGCTGCACCTGGAGGTGCGCGAGAAGCTCCATGGGCCTGACAGCGAGCAGGTGCGCTCCTGGCAGCGGGGCGCCTTCCACCGGCCAGTGCTGGGCGGCTTCCGGGAGAGTCGGGCAGCTGAGGACAGCTTCCGAAAGGCCCAGAAGCCCTGGCTCAAGAGGCTGAAGGAGGTGAGGCTGGGTGTGTGAGGGGCTGGAGGAAGGCACCTTCCAGGTGTGCATGGGGGCTGGGGGCCGGAGGCCAGGGCAAGGCGTCCAGGGCCCAGAGCTGTCCCTGTGCGTGCCAGGTTGAGGCATCCAAGAAGAGCTACCATGCAGCCCGGAAGGATGAGAAGACAGCACAGACCCGGGAGAGCCACGCCAAGGCAGACAGCGCCGTGTCGCAGGAACAGCTGCGCAAACTGCAAGAGCGCGTGGGGCGCTGCACCAAGGAGGCGGAGAAGGTGAGGCTGGGGAAGGCTTCTCCAAACTCCTTCCCCACGAATCCCTCTCTCTGGATGCTCATTTAAAGGAGGAGCGTGGGGCTGGGGGTGTGGCTGTGCCTTGGAGTGCCTGGGTAGAACATGCAAGGCCTCCTCCAGGAAGCCCCTTTTCTCCCACCTTTTGCACAGGTTGACCCCGTCTTGCTCTCCAGCAGGCGCTTAGAGGTGATGTGCTTGAATGTCACCTCCCTTGTTAGACTGCTGGGGTCCCTGAGGACAGGACCTGGGTCTTAGGCCTGGTTGCCCCTGGTGGCTTTGCCTGCTAAATGCTGATACACAGTGCTCATGGGCCCCTGCCTCTTCCACATAGACGAAAAGCCAGTACGAGCAGACGCTAGCGGAGCTGCACCGCTACACCCCGCGCTACATGGAGGACATGGAGCAGGCCTTTGAGAGCTGCCAGGCTGCCGAGCGCCAGCGGCTTCTCTTCTTCAAGGACATGCTGCTCACCTTGCACCAGCACCTTGACCTCTCCAGCAACGACAAGTATGGCATGGGCATGGGGTCCCCTCTGTGTCCCAAAGGCCCTGCGATTGGGGGTTCCTGTGGCCCAGGACATCCTCATCTGAGGGAAGTGCCTCGGGCCCTAGGTTCCACGAACTCCACCGAGACCTGCACCAGGGCATTGAGGCAGCCAGTGACGAGGAGGACCTGCGCTGGTGGCGCAGCACCCATGGGCCAGGCATGGCCATGAACTGGCCACAGTTTGAGGCACGTGTTGCATGCTGGGTGGGGCTGGGGCCCTAGCAGAGGACTTTGGCGCTTGGGATGAAGTTGGTGAAGGTGGCCAAGCCTGACCCTATGCACTCTCCCGCAGGAATGGTCCTTGGACACGCAGAGGACAATCAGCCGGAAGGAGAGGGGTGGCCGGAGCCCCGATGAGGTTACTCTGACCAGCATTGTGCCCACAAGAGATGGCACCGCGCCCCCACCCCAGTCCCCGGGGTCCCCAGGGTGAGAGCTGGGAGCCCAGATGAGGCAAAGAAACAGCTCTGCCCCTTTCCCAGCCCTCTTTCCCCTCTCTCCTTCGTTTCTTTCCTTTTACACATGAGGTGGGTTGAAATCTGTGCCCTGAATGAGAGGGTGGACTTAGTGGAGGTTTAGAATTGCCAGTTCCCACTAGAGTCTCTCAGTTCCTCCCACCTGCTCCGAGGGTCCCTCCGAGGGGTGAGCCCTTGTCCCTGAGTCCTGGGCCCTGAGCTGCCTCTTCTGCCTGTCCTCTCCAGTGGGCAGGAGGAAGAGTGGTCCGATGAGGAGACCCCCCGGAAGGCTGCCACCGGGGTGCGGGTGCGGGCGCTCTATGACTATGCTGGCCAGGAAGCAGATGAGCTGAGCTTCCGAGCAGGTACCTTGGGGCCCCCTTCCTGTTCCTTACCAGGTGCAGTCCCTGCCTTACCTGCCAGGGCAGAGGGGTGTGGGAGAGGCCAGGTGCTTCCTTCTCAGCCTCAGTTCTGAGAAGGAAGCTATTTTGGGTGCAGTCAGCTGGAGCCCTATTGCTGCCTCCGGGGTGTGAGGTGGGGCAGCTTTCTGAGGGTCACCTCCCCCTGCCCGAACCCTGTCCCCTCTTGCTGGCTGACTCTCATTTACCCCATCCCCCTCAGTCCTTGACCCAGTAGTGGGAATGGCTGGGCCTCAGGGCAACTGGCAGTGACAAAACCCCTTTCCTCAGGGGAGGAGCTACTGAAGATGAGCGAGGAGGATGAGCAGGGCTGGTGCCAGGGGCAGTTACAGAGTGGCCGCATTGGCCTGTACCCTGCCAATTACGTGGAGTGTGTGGGTGCCTGAGTGCCCGGCAGCCCTTCTGCAGTCTCTTCACCTAGGTCGCCGCCTAGCTGCTCCTGGACAGCCTGGCCAGAGGGCCCTGAACCATCGCGATGCTGCTGCCTCTCCATCCCCTGAGGAGGGAGGAAGTCCTGCGACCCAGGGAGGGGAGGGGTCTGTGCCAACTGAGTCTAGGTCAAGGGCAGGAGGTCGGACGTGACAGAAGGGCTCAGGGCTCCCTAGGAGCCAAGGACTGTTCCCTGGCCTCTGTTTTGGGGCTCCTGGGGTGGACTTTGGGAAGAGTATTTCTGGACTAGCAGCATCCTGTTTTGTGACTTGTCCTAGTGTGTATTAAACTTGAAAAAAAAATTAAAAAAAGAAAGTACCATCAGGCAGTATGTGCGTCTTTTTGATACTGGAGCCCTGCACATGGATGGAGATCCTGGGGAGGATGGGGTTGGGCATGGGTTTGCCATCTGGTTCCGGCCTTGGAACACCAGGACCTTGAATCTGCAGGAAAGGACTTGGTGTGAGCCAAGCACGGCTCGAGGCTAGGAGTTGGCTTGTGAGCTGAGCAGGAGCGCCGCCAAAGTGTCTTTCTGTGCGGGTTGGTGGGTCAAGGAGAGCTTGGGAGGACTGTTAATCATAACTTATGGATCAATAAAATAACCCGCCAGAGACAGGTCCTGACAGCCCACGTCCTCGGCAGGCGGCTCCGCCTTCTGGGCGTATGGGCATTCCCGCGAGGAGGTTTGGGCCGGCCCGTGACCCGTCGCCCACCCCAGCGGCGGATTGGCCTGGCGCGGAGTGGCCTTTACCCTCTCGGCCACTGTAGTGTTTGCAGCCTTTGACGTCACGCTCCTGTGCCGAGGGCCGCTCATTGGTCCAGATCCCAGCCAAATCACCCCACCCCTCGGTTGGCTGGATTAGCCTGCCCTTCCAGCCTCGGATTGGCCAGCGACAGTATCCTTTGGTCGCGGTTGTGTCTGGGAAGGAGAGAAAATGGCGGCGGAGCCGAGCAAGACTGAGATCCAGACTCTTTTTAAGAGGCTTCGGGCAATTCCAACCAATAAGGTGTCTGAGCTGGAGGGCCGCGGGGTCTGGCGCCGGTAGAGAGAGATCCTCCTGCCCCTGGGGTTTGAGGAAGACACAAAAAGGCGGAGGTTGGTGGTTTTCTTGGGTGTCAGCGCTCGGCCTCCACTCGGGGCGCCTGACTATTCGCTTGTCGACTCCTCCTCTCAGGCCTGTTTCGACTGCGGCGCCAAGAGTCCGAGCTGGGCTAGCATCACGTATGGTGTTTTTCTGTGTATCGACTGCTCCGGGGTGCACCGTTCCCTGGGTGTCCACCTGAGCTTTATCAGGTGGGTTCTTCACGTGGGTGCTGTAGCTTTCACCGGGGCTCCTTCGACTTGGACCACTCTGAATTCGGCCTTTGGGGACCTCTGGGTCGGGGGTCCTCCTCCTGAGGGAGGGCACCGGCTGTAGGGCCACCTTGCCACTTATTTGGTCTGTCTGGATCAAAACTCCCTTCTTTCCTCACCGTCAAGTTTAAGACAGGGTTAGTTTAGGGCAGAAGTTAGCAGCATTGACCTTTTTGCGGATGAATTGCAGAGAATGTGTCTAGTGAGACGGTGATCATTCCTAAGATTAAAGCCAAATCCAAGCTTTCCTCCCTGAGAACTCGATCTCCTTTCAGATCTGGGGAAATAATTAGCACCTTTTGGGATAGGTGTGGGAAGAGGAAAGCCTTCAAGTCCAAGGCAGAGTGAAAGAAATGGGGTAGTAACCAAGTGCGTCCAGCGCTCTTGAGGCCAGGTCAGGTATGGGCCTGCCGAGAAGCATGTCACCTGCTGTCTGCCTGGAGGTGACACTCAGCCCTGTACACAGGTCCACAGAGTTGGATTCCAATTGGAGCTGGTTCCAGCTGAGGTGTATGCAGGTCGGAGGGAACGCCAATGCGGTAAAGCTCCTTTACCTCTACTAGCCCCCATTCTTTCACCCGTACCAACTAACCATGAGGGAGGCCCTCTCTGTTTCTCTGTTTAGTGGGTCTCTGGTCTATAACAATACGAGACACTATTCTCTTAACTTGGGAATTGGTCACAACTCCTCTCTAAGGGGCTTCAAATTCAAACTAAATTGGACAGATATTCTTGGGAAAAGGCAGAGAGAGTCGGGGCCTCCATGGCCTTGCACAGTCTTGCAGGCCTGCTGGGAGGGAGGTAGGGTAGAGTGGCATCATGCTGTTCTCAGCCAGTGTTGAGTGAGTGCTGGGGTTCATTCAGTCCTCTCGGAGGATAGAAGATGGCAAGATGTCTTTTTTTTTTTTTTTTTTTGGTACTGGGGATTGAACTCGGGTCCTTGTGCTTGCGCAGAAGGCGGTGAAACCACTGAGCTAAATCCCCGGCCTGGCAAGGTGTCTTTTGGAAGAAGTTCAGAGGAACTTTATCTCCATGAAAAACTGCTGGTGTCAAAAATGTGTCATCTTGTATAAATCCTAACCAAGTTGTTTTTAGAGGGTGTCTGCTATAGCAAATGCATTTTGCTGTGGTGAGAATCACCTGAAGCATTCTCTGCTCTTCCCTGGTTTAGACAGCCTTTTTCCGCCAACATGGATGCACAGCCAATGATGCCAACACGAAATACAATAGCCGAGCTGCCCAGATGTACCGGGAGAAGATCCGGCAGCTGGGGAGTTCGGCTCTGGCTAGGCATGGCACTGATGTAAGTGCTTGTTCCTGGGTTGGGGTAGGAGGGTGAGGGAGTCTTCAGAGCCCCGTGTTTTCAGAAGCCTTCTGTCTTCCAGCTTTGGATAGACAACATGAGCAGTGCTCCCAGTCAGTCCCCAGAGAAGGACTCTGATTTCTTCATCGAACACACTCAGGTGAGTGCCCGCAGCAGGTGTTTCCCCTGATTGTCCTGATGAGTGGCTCACTTAAGGCTGAGGCCTTCTGTAGATTGCCTCTCCCTTGGTGTGCTTGTTCAGAGACTGTGTGGGTGACTGCTGCCCTGCTGGGTAGGTGGAGTCCTGTAAGTGGGAGGGCAGTGAAGTCTTTCTAGGAAATGCCCCCCTCTGAACTGGGGAGGAGGAGAGGATAAGCTTCCTGATGAAGGCTTATGAGGCCTCAGGGGCCCCAATAACTTTTCCTAGATTCTTCCTTAATAAAGGCATTTCCTAATAAAGGATTCCGTCTCCTGTGACCGACCCCTGTGAACGTTTCTCCTCTGCTGGCACTGGGTGCTAAAGTCAGACTCTGGAGTTTGCATCTCTGCCTCTCTACTTGGTGTTTCTTTGTTGTGGCCAAGTCACTTAACCTGGCAAAATCTCAGTTTCTAAAGTGGAGATGTAGCCACCTCATGGGGCTTTTTCTGATATTCGCATTTGTGTATAAGGAGCCCTTAGACTTGTGCCTGGCATTTGGTAGGTGCCCAATAATTAGTAGTTTTTCAGTTGGGGGATGGGCACTGGCTATGAGTAAACTGATGCCAGCTTCCTGTGTCTCTTCTGTGGTGAACAGCAGGTATAATTTTACTTACTTCCAGTCTGCTTTCCTTGTGGGTTAGGAGTAGGGCTTCATACCCACAAGGTCCCTTCGGGTCCTTGGTGCTCCTTGCCAGCAGGAGGACTCACCAGGGCTTCTGTGATCTGGCCTCCTTTTCAGGCCCCTGCCTGGGATGCACCTGCCACTGAGCCTTCAGGGACCCAGCAGCCAGCCCTGTCTGCAGAGAGCAGTAGCCTGGCACGTGAGTTCAGCCCAAATTCCACCCAGTTCCCTGGCCCTGGGAAAGGACTTGAGGCCAGGAAGGGGACATTTGGCCAGTGGAGTAGGAGTGTGTGTGGGGGGAACTTTCTAGATCTTTGGTTGGAATGGGATTCATTTCAGTTTCTCAGGAAGTGGCGGGCATTTACCTTTTGGCAGTAAGCTGAGGAAATCTGGTGACTCGCCTGTCACTGCCCTCCAAGGGAAGGTGGCATACCTAACTCCTGCTTTTTCATCCACAGAGCCAGAGCAGGGCCCCAACACCGACTTGCTTGGCTCTTCAAACAAGGCCTCCCTGGGTCAGTATGCTGGCTGGCGGGTGGGCCGGCCAGGAGAGGATGGGCCTCACTGTCCTTTACAGACCTCTGCTGGTTGGTCATGTGGACTGAGGCCACAAGCGATAGGGAACCTGCCCTTTCTGGTTTGGGGACTGGGATTGAAGTCCTGGCTGCACTGGCAATTTCCAGGCCAGGCCTTGTACTGACAGACCTGGGTGCGCTGCCCCTGAGTGTGAGCTGGGATCCAGCAGTGTGGGAGGCCTCCATGAGACCATTCACCTCTCCCTGGTATCAGCAGGGCTGGCCTACATGGTCTATTTCACAGGGTGGGAGGACAGCTCTGAGCTTCTGATGGCTGGAGGCGACACTGTCCTTTCAAAGCCAGTCTTTGGCCCGTCCTTCAACTCTCTTCTATTTTTTTTTTGGTGGCCTTTCAACGTGGTTAGAGTAAACAATCCCTTTGCTGACCTCAGTTTGTTCTGTTGACTCTTGGGGGTAGGGGCAGGCAGCCAGCAAGAGTGACTGTCCAGCTGGCCCCGTGAAGGCTGGTCTAGTTGGTCAGCAGCATGTCTGTGAGGCTCAGGGGGGCCCTGTGTTAGCCTCAGGTCTGTTTCTCCTCCAGCGTCCATGTGTCTGTCAGCTGCAGGGGCCCCTCCTGCCAGAGGTAACCAGCAGCTGCTTGGGGTGTGTGGCTTTAGGAGCTGAGGCTGTTTGGCATCCGCTCTCCCTAACAGTCTTCACTTTGGTTCAGGGACTTGACTGTCTCTGGTGCTTCAGGTCTGGGCTCCTCTTGCAGTGTGCTGGGCATCAGCAAGCGCCCTTAACCTTGTCTGTCTGTGGCTTGGATCCCATTGGGTGGAACTGGCGGCAACAGCTTTGCCTTCCCTGCCTGAAGCTGTTCTGTTTAGACACTCTCGCCATGTAGCTGCGTGGTGTTGCCAGGCCACTGCCTTTGACCTTCCCTGTCCTGGCTCATGGATGCCCTCTTTCTCACACAGATCTGAAAAGCTCCATCATCGGCAAGAAGAAGCCAGCAGCAGCCAAGAAGGGGGTAGGTGTTGGGGCAGTTCGGCAGGGTGGTAGCAGCTCAAGTTAGCCTCATTGACCCTGACCTTGCCATGCACTGGCAGAGGTAGCTTAACGCACCTGACTTGTCTGTGGAAGGGATTTATTGATGTCCATCTCCATGAGGGTCATGCTGAGCAGGAAGTGGGGCCCACAGGAGCCTCATCGGTGAGGTGAGGCTTGTCTTGTCCTCTGAGGCCTTGGCTGGGGCAGTGTGAGCCTCCTGGAGCCTGGCTCCAGCAGAACCACTGTTCTGTCCCGGCCACACCCACCAGCTCCAGTCTGTGATCCTAACTGTAAGAGGGACCATTCTTGTGGGTGTGGCTAGAGCTCCGGGGTCTGTGGGGAGCAGAGGAGCCTGCCTGGCAAGGCCCCAGGGCCCCTGGTTCCGTTCCCAGCTGGGGGCCAAGAAAGGCCTGGGGGCCCAGAAGGTGAGCAGCCAGAGCTTCAGTGAGATCGAGCGGCAGGCCCAGGTGGCAGAGAAGCTCCGTGAGCAGCAGGCAGCAGATGCCAAGAAGCAGGTGGAGGAGTCCATGTGCGTGTTGGCTAGGGGCTGGTGGGGGCAGCGTGGGTGCCAGACTCTGACTCTCCCCGTCCTCCAGGGTCGCCTCCATGCGCCTGGCCTACCAGGAGCTCCAGATTGACCGGAAGAAGGAGGAGAAGAAGCTGCAGAAGCTGGAAGGGAAGAAGCGGGAGCAGGCCGAGAGGCTGGGCATGGGGCTGGTGTCCCGCAGGTGAGGCGTGGCAGGGCATGGCGGGCAGGGCCAGTGGTTTCCTGGGAGCCAGTTGGGGTCTGCCCAGTAGTTTGGATTCTGCCCTTAGTCTCCCTTGAGGTGGAATGAACCACTGTGTTGAGTGCATTGTGTTAAGGCATCTGCCGTAGTGCTTAGGGCTCGGAAGGCAGGCGCTGTGTGTGTGTGTCAGGCAGGATTGGTGCTTCGTGGATACAGGGAGCACCTAGGGCGGGCTCGTTACTGAGGATGTTAATGGCAGGTGAGGGTGGGACACTTCTTCATTTTTTAAGACCAAACCGAGACCTGCGGGTCCTTCAGCATCTCTTGTCTCTGTCCACTCAGTGCCATTTGTGCTGACAGACAGCTACCCCCAGTTTCACGTGCTCTTGGGTTGGGCACCACCCTTTTGGTTTCAGAATCACTGCTTGTGTTGCTGCAATTTTCTTTTTCTTTTTTTTTTTTCCCCGATACTGGGGATTGAACTCGAGACCTTGCACTTGCCAGGCACGTGGTGGCACCACTGAGCTACATCTCCAGCTGCTGCAGTTTTCTTAACCAGAGCGAGTATTACAGACCAGCTCTGGTATTTTTGTACCCCACTGGGAGTTAATATCCAGAGATCCCTATAATAGATTTTTTTTTTGGTACCGGGGATCGAACTCAGCACCTGTGCTTGCAAGGCAGGCAGCAGCACCACTGAGCCAAATCCTTGGGCCTAGATTTTTGATCTCTTAAAAATTGGAATATGTAGCTGGGCTTGGTGATACACACTTGTAACCCCAGCTCTTTGGGAGGTGAAGCAGGAGGATTGAAAATTTGAGCCCAGACTAGGCAACTTAGAGCCTTCTCAAAACTTAAAAAAAAAAAGGAGGAGTGTCTGATAGTCATGCCCCTTCCAAGGAGGTGTGAGCTCATTCCGATGGGCCACATGGCTTGGGTGGGCTTGTGCAGGAGAGACAGTTACTCCTATGTGCAGATAAAATGGTTGAGACGCAGGGTAGTTAAGTAACTTGCTGAGAGCCTGGAGTGAGTAGCTGGCAGAACTAGATTTTTTCCAGTATTGGGGCTTGAACTCGGGGGCTTTGCCTGCCATGTAAGCACTCGACCACTGAGCTACATTCTCAGCCCTTTTTATTTTCAGATAGTCTGGCTGAGTTGCACCGGCTGGCCTTGAACTTGTAATCTTCCTGCCTCAGCCTCCCAAGTAGCTGGGATTGCAGGCCAGTGCCACCACATCTGGCTCACAACTAGATTTTGAACACAAAACTATTTGATTCCACATTCAGTATTTTTCTTTTTTCTTTGTTTAGTTTTATGGCACCAGGGATCGAGCTCAGGGGCTCTTCTCCACTGAACTGCATCCTCAGCCCTTTTTACTTGTTGCTTTGAGATGGTCTTGCCGAATTGCCCAGGCTGGCCTCAAACTTGTGATCCGTCTGCCTCAGCTTCTTGAGAAGCTGGGATTCCAGATGTGCACCACTGCATTTCCATATTTCTGGCTGTTATTTTCTATTTCTTTGGGAGGAGATCTGTCTGTGTGTTGCTAGTGTCATCATAGCTGATTAGCAGAACATACAGTTTGAGTCCTGGAAAGGATTGGCGTCGTCCTCGCTTCCTGGCCTGGTTTTGGTCCAGAAGAGTGACTGGGTTGAGGGCCAGGAACAACTTCCCGACTCTTTCCTCTCTTTTTGGCAGTACAACATGTTCTCTTATTAAAATCCAGCCTACCCTATGTAAAGCCATCGTAAAACATTCCCCCTTGGGGTTCTTCCAGACAGAAGCTGTAGGTAGTTTCTAAAGAGTTCATTTGACTCCAATTAATCCTGCAAGTGCCCTTGTGGAGGCTGGCAGAGGAGTGGGGCCGAAGCCATCTGCCTGCCCTGCCCCAGGCCCCTGTGAGGGAACAATGCCCATTTGGCGCTCAGTCCACGGGCCAGACTCTGGGCGCCTCACGTCCTCTTCTGGTTGGGAAAAGGGATAGGATCATTAAGAACCCTCCATGGATGTCCTGGGCCCATCTCCTCATCCAGGCATTTCTCATGCTCTCCATCTGTGTCTGGGGCCTCTTTCCTGGTACAGTGAGGCTGGAGTTGTTCTCCAGGATTGCTGCACTCGTATGGTGTGCATTGTGTTAAAAGTGCTCCCAGGCAACAGCTGCTGGCCAGGGAAGCCCTTCTGGGGTGCGTTCCCCAGGTTACCACCAGTGCCTGGCGCCCCCCCCTCTGGGTCTGCCCACTGCTGTACATGGCAGGGAGTGGGAGAGTGGGTGGTGCATGGGAAAGTGGACCGGCAGCCAGGTGGCTGCTCTTGTGCCATGGTGCTGATGCTCCCCACGTGCCCGTGGCTTCTTGTACAGCCCTGTCTCCCACTCCGTGCTGTCCGAGATGCAGGTGATCGAGCAGGAAACCCCTGTGACTGCAAAATCCTCCCGCTCGCAGCTCGACTTGTTCGACGATGTTGGAACTTTCGCCTCTGGGCCTCCAAAGTAAGGTTACTGCTGGCGCATAGGCTTGGTCACCACCTTCCTCATCCAGCTGCTTTGAGCCCCTCTGCTGTCTCCCTAGGTACAAGGACAACCCATTTTCCTTGGAATCCTTTGGTTCTCACTGGGACACCGATGCCACCTGGGGAATGGACAGGGGGGAAGAGAAGGAGCAGGAAGTGACTATCTCAAGCATCCGGCCAGTTTCAGAAAGGTACAGGGCTCTGGGGCAGCAGGTGCAGCAGGACTTCCTGTGAGGAGGGAAGTTCTATATCTGTGGCCGCGTGGTGGCCACTGGCTGGGGTGTTCTTGAGCCTTGAATGCATGGCTGTATGCTGAGGAGCTGAATTTCTAACATCATTTAATGTAGTTTAAGTAAATGTAACATCACTGTAGCCTCCTGCAGTAGGAGCTACCTCGGTAGACAGGGTGGGGACCTGGCTTTGGTGCGAGCTGCATGGTCTCTCTGGCTGCTGGAGCTTGGGATCTGTTTCTCTTGAAGAAGGGGCCCGATTTTACTTGCAGGCCTGGTCCCCTTCCCAAAGGCTATGTGTCTGGTCCCCACTGTTTTCATGTTGGCGGTGCTGGAGATGAACCCAGGCCCTTCCTGCACATTCCCGGAGCACTGTCCCTGAGCTGCATACTAGCCCCTAATTTATTTAATTTTATTTTTTTTGGCACCAGGGATCAAACTCAGGACCTTTCGCCTACAAGGCAGGCGTGGTGCCACTGAGCTAAATCCCTGGCCCCCCTGATTTATTTATTTATTTTTGGTACCGTGGATCGAACTTGGGTCCTTGCACTTGTGAGGCAGGCGGCAGACCCACTGAGCTAAATCCCCAGCCCCCTTAATTTATTTTTTAAAAACCTTATTCCATGTTGATCTGGGCAGTGATTTGCAGGTAAGTTACCTGGAAATCATTCATTTGTAAAACAAGGACATAAATTAAACATGGTGAACTTGTAAAACCCCCTAGTCTGGAGTCTGTGTAGCGTAGGTGCCTGAGACTGTCAGTACAGGCAGACTGAGCACGTGGTCACCCCAGTGTTGGGCAGATTGTCCCTGGGACCAGGGTAGCAGCAGTGACAGTGGGGGTGGAAGCTTGGGGAAGCCAGCGTGGAGTGGGGCCGAAGCCCAGGCTCCCCCAACCAGCTTTCTGTGCTGTGCCGGCCTCTGTGGAGAGGGGAGGGGCTCCCTGTGCTCCAGAACCACAGACAGAAAGGGCCCCCAGCAGAGCTGTGGTTTGGGACCTCTGTCTTCTGCAGAGCCACCAGCCGGAGGGAGGTGGAGAGCCGGAGCCTGGGCCCAGAGTCCAGTGAAGCACAGCAGAAGTTTGCGGGCGCCAAAGCCATCTCATCAGACATGTTCTTTGGGCGGGAGGTGGACACTGAGGTGAGTAAGCTGCCATGTGATACCTGAGGGCCTCTTGGCTGCCTGTGTCATGAGGGTTGGTGGGTAGGAGTTGTCACCTCCTTGGCCGAAGACCCCCAGGCCTGGCTTTTCCTTGACAGTATGAAGCTAGGTCCAGGCTGCAGCAGCTCTCGGGCAGCAGCGCCATCAGCTCTGCAGACCTCTTTGGGGACATGGATGGACCTCACGGAGCAGGTGGGGCCGCAGTGGGGTGGTGGGCATGGGCAGGGCTGCCTGCAGGGTTCGGGATCACCCTCCCTTCCCTTCCCAGGCAGCGTGTCTCTGGGGAATGTGCTCCCCACCGCCGACATGGCGCAGTTTAAGCAGGGCGTCAAGTCTGTGGCTGGCAAGATGGCTGTGCTGGCCAATGGGGTGATGAACTCGCTGCAGGTGAGGCCTGAAGTGCATGCGGGCCCCCCTCTGTGCAGATCTTGGGTGGACGTGGCGTCCTTCCTCTTGGTTCTGTCCTGGTGGGGCTATGTCCCCCCCCCACCCGTGTGTGACATGCGGAGGGGCCCCTGCCATGATCCTGCTGCCCGGGAGTTGGGGGAGGTGGTGCACGGCCTGGGTGCCACAGTGGCCCCGAACTGACTTCACTTTTTTTGTCCCTGGCCCAGGATCGATATGGTTCTTACTGACCCCAGCCCTGTGGCAGCGTCAGCAGCAGGAGCCTGTGATTCCCAGGCTGGTGACAGAGGATCGGCGACTTCTTGTGCTGTGCAGTGGGCAGCCTTGGACCCAGGGCAGGGTTGCAGCAGCACCAGCCCTCCCTCTGCCTGTGGGCCAAGCCCCTCTTTTGTCCCCTTGAGCCCTTCTCCGCACTAGCATCCTTCTGCCTGTCTGCCCGCCCGCCCGAAGGTGCTGCTCACTTGGCTGCGTTGGAGGAGGGCAGGCGCCTGGGCCGGCCTCTGGTCAGCTGCTCTGGCTCGCTCTTCCTGTGGGAAAGCAGAGCGTGCAAGGCTTCTGCCAGCTCTCAACGGTCTGGGGATTCCCTCTGCTTTTCGGCCTGGGGAGGCCCTGGATTTTCCCTACTGTTTCTGGGTGCCAGGGAGGTCAGGAGGGGAAGGACCTTGGGGCCTAAGGGTAGAGACTACCTGGCACTGCCGGTTTCCTCTGGGGCAGCCTGGAGGCCTGAGTGACCTTCTTCTGTCCCTGCCACCTGGGACCCTGCCTGCTGCTGTCTCAGTTCCTCACTGTGGCCACGGTAACCCTGTCTCCCCTTCCCTGGTTGGCGCCCACAGCGGCCTCGCCTGCACTGACTCGTGACCAGATGCTGGCCGTGTGCGGCCAGCCAGGAAGACAGGGACAGAGCTGGTGTGCGCTCAGCTTCCTCCTCTGTTCTCCTGGCCTGCCGGGCCGTGCACTGTGTCATCTTGGTGCCATCTCTGCCTCTGGGCAGTCTGGGCCCAGCCCTACCTACGGGTGGAAGGTTGGGCTCTGAGCAACACAAGACCAGTCTGCCCTCCCCCAGAGGGACAGGACTTCTTTCAGGACTGTTTGTATTGAGACAGTGGTGTCAATAAAGCCCCCACGGGGCCTGTGGTCCGAGCTAGGTCTGCCTCCTGCTGCCTCCCTGCCCGCCCTGGCTCACTCGGGCTCCCACCAGCTCGCCTCGGGTGCTCCCTCCGGGGCCTCCGGCTTGTCTCTTCGCTGAGTGCCCATGGCCCCGGCTCTTTCGCCCTGTGGTTGCCTCAGGATCCGGCGCAGCCTTGACCTCACCGCCCTGTGGCAGGTGGAGGAAAGAGCTGGTGTTAGTGGGCACCTGGGCTCGGCTGGAGCCTGGGGTTGGGGGGAGGCAGGGCTGCACTCCTGAGAGTGGAGGAAAAGTTAAGGTGTGCATGAGCCCCTCTTGGCCATCCTGTCCTTACGGGACTCTTCTGCAGAACATGGGTAACAGGCGGAGGGCTGGAGACAGGGCAGAGGGAGCCGGGCCCTTGGTAGTGTCTCAGCGCAGAGCCCTTGGGCCCTCCGTGGAATAGGCCGAGACCCAGCCCAGCTGGCAGAGCTGGCTGGCACAGCCTTGAAGCGGCTGTGATGCCCCCTGGGCCTGGGAAGCCTCTGGGCTTCAGGCTGGAGCCTCTTGGGGGCTGGACCCTGGCTGTGGAGCAAGTGGGTAGGGTGGGCAGGCATGGGGGCCCCGGGAAAATGTGCCTGGTAAGGGTAACCAGCTTCAGAGGATGCAGGCTCCAGGTTGGGTTTTACTGGGGAAACTCCCACCTCCACTGCCTCAAGGAGGTTGGAGTCCACCTGCCTCAGCTGCTTCCTTTTGTGGAGTCTGCACCTCAGGCCTGTTCTGTTCTGGGGACTGAACCCGGGGCTTTTGTGCTGAGCTACATCAGCCCTTTTTAAAACTCGAGGCAGGGTCTCCCTAAGTAGAGTTGCTCAGGCAGGGCTGGAATTTGCCATCTTCCTGCCTCAGCCTCCCAGAGTGCTGCGATTACAGGTATGCTCACCACGTGGGGGACCTCAGGCCTGTTTGTTCTGAACCGCATGCCTCTAACCCTGAGCAGGTGCCCCACAAGCCTAGTGCCACAGGAGACAAGGCCAAGCAGTGCGGCCCTTTGTGACCTTGGTCTTGGAAGATATGGGACCTGCCCTGGGGCCTCTGGGCTGCTTCTGAGTGGGAGGTGACCCTTCTGCTGCAGGTTCCAGACTGGCGTGGCCCTCGCCCGCTCCCATGTGCCAGAAAAGCTTCCCAACCCAAGCTCACCCTGTCCCTTGCCTTCCCTCTGCTGACACTCATGGCTCACCACACACAAGGGACTTTATTCGGCTAGGGTTTGGCTGCTGGACACAGGACTTGGGGGCGGGTTTGGCAACGGCACTGTTGCCCACTCCCCCCTCCTCACTCAACCTAGGTGGGTGTCCGCCCAGTGCGCACGCTCAGGTGTCCCGGACCCCTTTTCCCGCTGTCGCCCCCTCTGGGGCAAGGTGGTCTCAGTCCCAGTTTGGGGCTCTGGCGGGGCTGCTGCTCGGCCTCTCGCCGGCAGGGGGCAGGACGGGGGCGAGGCCTGCGACGGCCTCAAGTCTCCGACTCGTCCGTCTCCTCCGTGGAGCCGTCGCTCTCCGTGTCCACCTTGCGGGGGTGGTGAAGGGGTCTCCACGGGGAGCCCACCCGGGGCAAGATCCGGGGCGCTGGGCAGCCAGGCTCCGGCGTGGCGGCGGCGGCAGGGACCAGGCCGGGGACCTGGGCGAGCCTGGGGAGGGGGGGAGGGAGGGAAGAACCTGCCGGGCAGGAGGTGCTCCCGCCTGGCCCCGACCCGGCTCGCAGCACGGCCCGGGGCCCTCCTGAGCGGCACGGGGTTCCCGGGGGCCCTGGGCGTGGCCGAGGGCAGGTCCCACAAGAGGGCAGCATCTCCCCACGGGCCACTTACAGCCGCTCCAGCTCTTCGTCCCCAGCTGGGTCCTGCATCAGGTCCCTTCTGTCAGGCAGAGCTCCTAGGAGACGACGGGTGGGGCGCAAACCCTGACTGGAGGTCCCTGCCCGGCAGAGGCCTGGGCCCTCACCTTCTCGGCCGCCCACCCCATCAGCGCGGGGCAGGGCGCCCTGGACAGATGCAGGGAACGAGAGACCCAGCTGACGAGGTGCCCCAGCAAACGGGATCCCCTCCATGAGCCGGTGGTGGCTGTGAGCGTTTAGTTCCTTCTGAGGCCTAGCACGGGTCAGGCCAACCCCAAAGGTCACAAATCATCCAGTTGTGTCCCTTGGTCAGGATGACCTCCCTTTGGAGACAGAGGGCAAAAAACGCTGCCTGGCCCAGGAGGTGGCTGTCCCCCTGTGAGGTCTACCCCAGTCTCAAGGGGTTTCCTTTGCTCCAGACCTCCGGGTACATCTCTGCTACTGGGAACGGGAGGTGCGAGCAGCGGGAGGGAAGCTAGGTGTGCGGATGGGAAGGTTCTTGCCGCAAGGTGGCGCTCTGTCCCCAGCTCTGGCCGTGGGCGCTGGACTCAAAGGTAGCTGGTGCAATTTCCCCCAGGTCTTTCAGATGACCCTCCTGCCCCCTTTGGCTCTAAATTAGTGGTTTTCAAACTGTGTTCCATAGGGCCCTCGAACTTTGGGAGGTGCCTCAGGGGCCCGTTCTACAACTGGCTTCAAGCGGGGTACCCCCCCCCTCCGCCCCCAGTACCGGGGGATGGAACTCTGGACCTTGCAATTGTAAGGCGGCAGAACCACTGAGCTAAATCCCCATCCCCAAGCAGGGTATTTCTGTTCGTACCCGGAGGTGCAGGCCAGGGCACAGCAGGTTTGGGGCGGCCTCTGTGAAGGCCTTCCAGCAGGCAGGCCGCGGGCCAGCTGCCACTGAGCATTCCCGGTCCCTTCCTAGCAGCTGTCCTTGGTGGACAGGAGGGAGTCAGTGGCCAAGGGATGGAAAGAACACCTAGAAGCCTCCTCTCGGCTCTGACTCCTCATCTTCTGGCCACCGACCTCCGAATAAACAGGCTTCGAGGTGCCAGCGTGCCTGTGTCCCCCAGAGAACCCTTCTGGGACCCCATTTCCTCCCTGGCAGTAGGGGGTGCTGTGTCTGAGTCCCAGGAGCCGGGTGCAGGCATACAAGGTGGGGATGGCTTACCAGGTCGTAAGGGCAGCAAGGTGGGTGTGGGGATGTGGCGGGCACAAGGGCCAGCCCCCTGCTATTTCTTTTTCAGATTAATCAACCCCCCCCACCCCAAGCTGGGAAAAGAAGACCTCATTCTCAGACACACCTTTGCCTTGTTTCTTTTTTTGGTTTTTTGAGGCAGGGTCTCCCTCTGCTGTTCAGGCTGGCCCTGAACTCACTATGCAGCCAGGCTGGCCTCGAACTTCCGACGATCCTCCTGCCTCAGCCTTCTAAGTGCTGGGATTACAGGCGTGCACCACCACCCCTGACACCTTTGCCTTATTTCTATTTGTTCTCTTTGCTATATCATCGCCAGGGCTGGTGCTCCTCAGAGCAGAACTGGGGTTCTGGGGGAAGGGTGGGCACATCTCTGCCATGGGGATGGGGCTTCCTGTTGGGCACAGCTGTCCTCTCTGTGGGAAGCCAGGGCTGCTTACCCAGGGCCTGATTGATGCCGTGGTGCTTGGAGAGGGCCATGAGGAAACCATAGAAGGTCAGTCTCTGTACGCTGCTCAGGATCTCCTTGACTAGTGCCGATGGCGGGCAGCTGAGGGGGACACAGGCTGGACTTGGAGGTGAGCCTCTCAGAGGGCCACCTCCGGGCAGAGGACAATGGCTGGAGATGCCACCCAGGGCTCCAGGTGGGAACTTGGGCCGGGGAGCAGGGCAGGTGTCAAAGCGGGAGGGGGGTGCTACTCTCAATGGGGCTGTCACTGGAGCGGGAGGGGGAAAGTGTCCTCTCCGAAGACACCCAACTGGGCGTTTTGTGCCATACAAGCCAGCTTAACCTCGGCTTTCTGTGGGAATGTTTGGAATTGTGAATGTTCTTTCCTGTGTGAGCGGTCGAGTGCAGCCTGTGTCGAGGGAAGGCGGTCATCTATACTCAGTCTGTACTCAGTCTCACGAGGGAAAGCAACCTTTCCAAGTGGGTCGGCTGGGAAGCCTTTCAGTCTCAATCTGTTTGGGGAGCAGATGGCCCTGTCCTAATTTATAGTATGACCACCAAGGACCCTGAAGGCCTGGCCCGTCCCAGAACCCTCTCCCGACCCCAGGGCTGCAGTGGTGTCTGCATGTCCTGTCCCCACCTGTACTTGTGCCGGTCACACAGGTTCTCCAGGCACTGGTAGAACAGCGCCGCCTCCACTCCTTCAGGCACCCCAGCCTCGCCCAAGGCGGGTCGCTGGCGGTGCTGCCCGCTGGATGACGTTGGCACGATCACTGTATTGGGATTCTTGCCAGACAGCAGGTCCTGGTAGATGGCAGCCACACTGTCCAGGAATTCTGGGGGGATGGGGTAGGGGGCACGGTTCAGGCGGGGAGGACACAGCGTGTCCTCCACTGTGCCCTCCCATCTGACAGCTCAGCCCCGCCACAGCCTCAGTGCTTGGTACCTGCTGTCCCGAGAGCCTCAATGCCTGGCCCCCTGGTGCGGGTGACAGCCACCCCCTCCTGTGGCAGCTGTCCCTAGACAAGGTGAGGCTCCCCATGGCACACCTCCGCAGTACATGCCCTCCACACTCTGTGGCACATATCCACAGCAGGCTCCGTGCTGGAATGTAACACCTTGTGCGAAGCAGGGCTCCTGCCTTGGTGGCCCAGGGCCGGCACCTAGTGCGGTCCTGGTGCCTGCTGCACACTGTGTTTCATTGGAAGGATGAACACGTGCAGGCTCCCAGTGCTCAGCCCCATCTCGAGGCTACCACCTCCCCAGCCCAGCAGAGCAGGCAGGATACCCAAAGGAGCACAGCTCGCCTGCAGCTGCTAAGTGGTCACTAATTTCAGAGCCCTGTCCCTTGGGGTTCCTCACTATGGGGACACACTGCTTCACGTGATGCTGCTGGGGCCAAGGAGGCTGTGGTGCACAAGGAAGAGGCCTAGGCAGTGCAGGTGGCGCTCTCCTGAGCGTGGCTGCTCTTTCCCTGGGCCCCAGAGCTCCCAAGGCCAGGGAGAGCTGTGCCTGCTGCTGCTGCTGCGAGCAGGTGGTGAAAGCCCAGGCTCCAGGCCCTGCCCAACAGCCCTGCACTGCCACCAAGCAAACAGAGTGTGGCGCCTAAGTGAGGGGGGGCTGGCGGGGACACCAGTTGGCAGGAAGGACACCTCCAGTCTCCAAGGACGCCTTGTGTTTACTGGAAGAGCCTGTCTGAATGAGTCTGTTTATGGCCACTGTCAGCAGTTTCTAAACCCCACATTCCATTGGAGGTTGCCTGCGAGCACTCCACACAGGTCTATTTTTACTCCACCTGATGGCAGAGGGGACTTAAGGCTGCAGTGAGTGTGAACCGGAGAGCAGACTGGATGTGCAAGACAGGAGTGGTGTGTGCTTATTAGAAGCCATGTGAGTGGCTGATTGTGCCTCACACAAGGGCAGAGGCCAAGGGTGTGGTGGGGAGCCCCGGCCTTGAGTCGGCCTGCAAGGTTCAAGCCACCACCCGCCGGCTGTGTGGCTTTGGCCCCTCATCTCTACACGTCCCTCACTCCAGACCTCGCTCTTAGGGCTGTGGGAAGGGTTCAGGCCTAGTGCTAGGCCTTGGACAGGGCGGGTTCGAAGTGTGTAGCAAAGGCTACTGCTGTTGTCACTGTCACTGTGGTTTACAGGCTTTAGACTGACAGGTTTTCAGTGTCTTCAGGAGTCCGGGAAGTTGGCTCTGCAGACTGAATCTTGTGACCAACAGTGCCAACCAGACATCGCACGGTGTTGAGCACCCCCAAGGGAAGTAGGGAAGGGAACCATGTGTGCCAGATGCACAGATGGCAGGGTGACACAAGGCCTGGGACCTGCTCACCTGAGTAGTAAAACTGGATCTGGAAGGCGAAAAGGAAATCTGAAAAAGACATCAAGCAGTCCATGGCGTCGTCCATGAGCACAATCCTGAAAGGGGAAGAGAGGGAGAATGAGAGAGACAGAGAGAGGAGCTGCTCCTGGGCCCCCAGCCCCCAGGGCAGCAAGACCTTTGGGAGAGGGCTCCCCAGTCACGCTCCTCCCAGTCACCGCACTTCTGTGACGGGACTCTGCCCCAGATGGACCGGCTGCTCTGAACCAAGACCAGACTCCAGGTCAGCATTGGTGGCACCAGCTGGTGACTCGGCACGTCAGGGGCTGGGGGCAGGGCGATCGGCAGGGAGAGAGTGCAGCTGTAGCGCGGCCAAGGTTTCCTTTCATTCTGCAGCGAGGACCATTTAGTTCAGGATAAATACAGCTGATCGGAAAGGCACAGAGAACAGCCAAGAGGTTTAAAGGGTCTTGGCAAGTGGCACTGAGATTTAGCAAGGCACCAAATGGCCAGAACAGCGAGCGGCCCCTCCACCCCAGGACGCAGATGGCCCACAGGGGAGAGAAAGCTCTGTAGGGACGCTGTGTGTGAGAGGCTCGAGGACGCACCGGTCTCAGGTCCTGTGCAGGCCCCTCTGTCCCTCCTGCCGCCAGCCCCTCCCACCTCACAGGAAGTAAACCCCTGGACTAGCAATGGGATGCACCAGGGCCGAGTTCAGACTGCCCAGGGGCGCAGCGGAGGGGACAGGAAGAGGCGGAAGTCAGCCCTTGTTGGGCTCCATCCATGGCCCGGGCCAGGCACCAGGCTCCCTGAGGAGTGGGGCCCTCATCCGTGTCTGATGGGGCCCTTTTGGCCTTAGCTCTCCCTTCTCTTACACAGTGTTTTATTTATTTATTTATTTTTGGTACGGGGGATAGAATTCGGGTCCTTGTGCTTGCGAGGCAAGCGGCGGAACCACTGAGCTAAATCCCGGACCCTACACTGTTTTATTTTGCCGCGGGGATTTTTCTCAGACTCCACTTTCCTGAGTCCGAGCTCCCTAAATTGCCAGCTGGATGAGCCCTGGAAAGCAGCATCGCTGGCCAGGGGGAGGGGGCTTCACAGAGAGCACCGTGGCCTCCATCTCTAGCGACAGGAAGTGGCCAGATGCCACTTGTGAGTGCCCCACTACACACAGGGACTGTGCAAGGCATCAGTCTCCTGAATTACACCTCACCCCACAGCGGACAGTGAGCCCACCCTGCTCCACTGGCTGCGGTTCTGGGAGACTACACTGGCTCTTTGACACGAAGAGCACTCGCGTTTTGCTCTTGGCTTCCGTGACTAGCTTATCTTCTTTTTCTCACCTCTGTGCTAGGGTCCCGGGGAGAGGGGAAACTGTCTCTACTACTAGGCCGCAAGGTGAAAAATCCCGCAGAAAATTCAGACGACCGTGGAACGATCCAGTGCTGGCGAGGCCACAGGGGGGCGCCCTGGTCCCTCCATCCGTGGCTCTCCAGACTAAGGGGTCCCCCACCCCCGATCCCAGCGAGTCTCCTAATCTGAGGAGAACCAGGCCGGCAAAAGGAAGACAGAGGCCAGCTCCTGACATCTGGAAGGGAGAGAGGAGGGGCAGCCGGGTGCAGAGACACCCGGACTAGGGCTGGGGAGCCTTCCCTTCCTGCCCCTCCCAGGACAGCCTGCACCCTAGGGCCTGGCCTCTCAGGGAAGCCATCTCCTGTTTATCACCTGTCTGGGACCCAGGGCCTCTCCTTACAGCCATGACCTCCATTTATTATTTGTCTCTTTATTCTTTGATTATATTGTGATGTAACTAAAATACTGTAAAATCCACCCTTTAAAACTGTATGATTCAGGGCCAGGCATGGTGGCACCTGCCTGTAATCCCAGCACCTGGGAGATTGAAGCAGGAGGATCGTGAGTTCGAGATCAGCTTGGGCTACAGAGAGAGTTCAAGACCAGGCTGAACTAAGTAGTGAAACCCTGTCTCAAAAAAACAAGAAAAAAACCCCTGATTCAGTGTGTTTTAATATATTAAAAAAATTGTGCAACTGCTGCCTGTGTCAAATCCCAGGAGTTGCCAGTAAGTCCTGGTCATCAGCAGCCCTGAGACAGGGGTATCCTGCAGCTGCCCTCACTGCCCATCCTGTCCCTCTGATGCTGCCTGCTCTAGTCCCTCCTTCGCTTCCGACCTGCTCCTGCCTGGGCCTCGTGAGTACAAAAGGCCAGATGACCCTGGACACAACCTCCAGCTCTGGGCCAAGTGTGCAGGAGGGACAGGTGTGAAGGAGTGGGCAGTGGCTGCTGCAGGCAGATGTTCCTGCAGAAGCCATGTGGCCCAAACTTCCCAAAGGCTCGTGTCATCTTTGGGGGACAGAGCCTCAGCATGCCTGGCAGTGCTTCTCGAGAGGGCCCAGGAGACTGTGACAGACTCGTGGAGAGGGGCCTTTCATTCGGTTCCTGCCTTGAATCTCAGCACCACCAGAGATGGGGCAGGTGGGGGACAGCCCCAGGCTGCAGGCCCTACGTCCCCACTTCCTCCCGAGCTCCCCCTAGATTCCTGCCCCAGAGGGCTTGGGGAGGAACCTTCCGGAGGTGAGGTCACCTCATGTGCTGTTCCCAGGGACTGCAGCTGGCGACCTGGCCTTCCTGCCAGAGGCTCCGCTCCCGTGCCAGCTGCGCCGACACCTGGAGGGGCCTGGTGCCCTGCTCTGAAGAGGAGCCAGTGGAGCTGCTGCCAGTGGGAGCCGGGCAGGACCTGCAGGCCAGGCCTTGGGTGGGCAGAGAGGGCCTGGGGCAAGGAGAGGCCTGGATTGGGGCTTTGAGCGAGCCCTGAGCAGGGCAGGCCAGGGCAGGCGAGGGTGTGAAGACAGTGCTTGGCAGGGCCCAGTTAACCCCAAAGGGCCCGGTGGCTCTCCTCCCCATCTCCCTGCGAAGCCAACAGCTGGGCTGGGCAGGCTGGAGGTAAGTGGGTGCGGAAGGAGCAAAGCTCCTCGCCCCAACCTACTGAGTCACCAGCTTCCACTTTCCCAGTGAGGGTCAGGCTCCCTGGCCCAGGGGAATGAGCTGGGATCCAGTCCCAGTTCCACCGCCCACTGGCCACGTTACCTTCTCCCTGGCCTCAGTTTCCTCATCCGCAGGGAGGAGGTGATCCTAGCTCTTTTGCAGGACTCTTGGGTGTGGAGTGTTCTCTGCCCAAGTATCACGGGTGGCCAGTGCCAGTTGCTGCCCTGTGCGCGTTCTACCTGGTGTTCAGTGCTACAAGAGTGCACAACTTCGAGGCAAAGCTGAGCTCTGCGGAAGGAGTGCTACCAGCTCCCCTCCAGGCAGAGAGGCCTCTGGGAAGCCAGCTTGTTTCGCGTCCACTTTTGGGGAAGCCACACAGAGCAGGGCCAGGAAGAGGAACCTTGTGCGACTTCGTCCTTCGTCCCAGTGCCTGGCTGGGCTCAGTGCACCCTGAAGTCTCTGCTCTGAGGTCAGGGCACAGAGAGGGAGCAGCTGTGCTGAACCCACCCCTTTCCCAGTTCGGGGGACTGGGCTGCCTCAAGGGTTTCTGGGGATACTTTCTGGGGGCTGCCCCTCTTCCAGACTGGGTGGCCCTTCAGCAGCTCAGGTGACCAGCCTGTCCTTCCGGGGCACCCCAAACCCACCTGCCCAGTAAGGCCTAAGAAGTGTGGTCAGGAGGGTGTGGGAGTGCTCAACCTGACAATAATGGCTCGAGGTCACTGGGGCTCCCTGTCAGCGCTGTGCACCCCCAGTTCACTGCTTCTCCTTCACCCTGTGCGGGAAGCCTGGAGAGCACCTTACGAGAGCACAAGCTGTCAGGGTGAGGACAATGACAATGACCCAGGTCACGAGGCAGGATGGGAACGCTCAGGTGCAGGCTGCTCTGACCCTGGCCATGGGTCCTCCAGCTCCGCAGCTGTACGTGGGTGGCTGCACCTTCCTGCTGGCCCCGGCCCTGCCCTCCAAGTGGGCTCAGGCTCAGCAGTGGCCAGAAGAGTGCTTCCCTGCACAGCTCACTGGCCTCCTCCCCTGGGGATCCCAGGAAGCCCGAAGCTCCGGAGGATGGGAACCTGGACCCGAGGTGGGGCTGGAGCAGAGCTGGATGCATCCCTCCCTTCTTCTGTCCCCCAGGCCTCCAAGTCCGGGCCAACTGCTTCTCCCAGTCCCCAGGGTACGCACATATTTCCCTCTCACTCCTCTCTACCTAAATCCTGCCCATCCCTTTTGATCTAGATGAAGTGTTTAAAAGCTCAGGTTACAGAGGGTAACAACTCCTGGGTCCCCACTAGCTAACTCTACCAACACTATCATTCTGCCATACTTTTGTCAGTTTCTAAAAGCTTGGTAAATCAGTACAGAAACCTTCAGCCGCCGCATAGCCGCCCCTCATTCCGTTCCTTTCCCCTTCTCCCCCAGGGCCAACAGGATTTACGGAAGCCTGGAGGCTTAGCATTTCTCAGGATATTTTTACACTACAGCCACTCTTGCAAATGTCTATATTCTTTACACATTACGCCAGCTGCAATGGGCATGCCTGTAATCCCAGCCACTCTGTAGGCTGAGGCAGGAGGGATCACAAGTTGGAGGCTAGCCTAGGCAATCTAGTGAGATCTTGTTTCAAAAGAAAATGGGCAGGGGCCGGGGATTTAGCTCAGTAGTTCTGCCGGCTGCCTTGAAAGTGCAATGTCCTGAGTTTGATTCCCGGTACCAAAAAAAAAAAAGAAAAAAAAAGAAAATGGGCTGAGGATGTAGCTCAGTGGTAAAACACCCGTGGGTTCAAGTATATCAGTACTGGGGATACTGAGCATGCCCAGCTCTTCTTAACATTTTTTTTGTTTTGAGACAGGGTCTCAATAAGTTGCCCAGGCTGTCTTCCACCTAGCAATTCCCCTCCTCAGCCTCCTGACTAGCTGGGATTACAGGCATGTGCCACCATTCTCAGCTGGATTATCGGAGTCCACCAATTTGATAGATACAAACTGGTATCTCAGTTTAGCTGGCAGTCCTGTGTATTAGTGAGTTTGGGCATGAAAATATGCTTAGATTTTACTGTTGGCTAATGTTCGATGTGTTGCTCTGTTTCTATCTTTGG